CAGAGGGAGAAGCAGACTCCCTGCCAAACAGGGAGCCCGATGCGGGACTCGATCCCGGGACTCCAGGATCATGACCTGAGCCGAAGGCAGTCGCTTAACCGACTGAGCCACCCAGGTGCCCTAGGTGTTATTGTTTTTATCTCCATTTTGTAGAAAAGGAAACAGAGTCACATTTTGCTCAAGGTCATATGACTAGTAAGTGGCAGAACTGGGATTTGTACTTGGGCGGTTTGGCTAGAAAGTAGTGATCTTAGCCAGTCTCATGTTCTTTTTGGTAAACAATGAGTAGATCAGTGAATAAATAAATTCCAAAGGCAAGAGTCAAGTAAATAAAGTGGGCTTGGAAGCCAGTGGTGGCCGCCTAGCATAATGTGTGGCATGTAATAGGTGCTCATTAAACTCTGGTTGTCTGAATGAGAGAACAGTTTGAAATCAAAAGGGTAAGAGAGATGCCAGAGGTTACCAGAGGTGAAGGTGTGGGGATCCGAGAAAGCCCTTTATCCGTATGTGCTTCTGTGTTATGAACTGCCTATCTGCCCTGGTCCTTCAGTAGTTTCATTAAAAGGACACATACCTTATAAGAGGAACCCACAAAAGGGCACTACATATTAGAGCTGTTTGTTCTTAGGGGTTGGTGAGTCCGCCCTTTGGGCCTGGGAAATGGTGGATGAGGCTACTCAGAACAGGCTGCAAGCACCATGCCAAGACTTGGGGTAAGACCGAGTGGTGTTTCTTCTTCCTCCCAGGAAAGGGTGCTCACCTGGCAATTTTCGTTGAAAAGCTACATCTATGGGGACCTTTACAAGAACCGCGTCAACATATCGAGCAATGCTGAGCAATCAGATGCCTCCATCACTGTTGACCAGCTGACCATGGATGACAACGGCACGTACGAGTGCTCAGTCTCCCTGCTGTCAGACCTGGCGGGAACCTCTAAGTCACGCGTCCGGCTCTTGGTCCTCGGTGAGCATCTCCGTCTCCCCTGGGGTGGCAGGGAGGTGGGGCAGGGAGGCGTGCTCAGAGAAGAAGTGCCCTCGTGGGAAGGTAAAGTCAGAGGCAGCCAGACCTGACCAGGAGCTCAGACTCCTCCCCTCATCCCATCTGCCTGGGCAGGGGGCGGCTCTTCCCTTTTTAACCGAAGACTATTCTGAGCGGCCCACCAATGGCACACAGTTCCAGGGCAGTGGAGAAGGCTGGTTTGGAGTGGCCCCGGGGTCAGCCTGGGACATTCTGCCCGTGCTCTGTCCAGTGCTCTTCCCCATAACCCAGCTCCCTTCCTTTTCATGGCCAACTTATTAGGGAGAAGGAAAAGGGAAGTTCTAGATCCTAAATAAGGACTCTCACCGGGCCTTCCTTTGGTGCTGAGAGCTAGATTGTGAACTTCCCCGTCATAAGTTCAGCTAATCAGTAGAAACCCTTCACACCAGCATCTCCCCACCCCGGGCCCCAACCACATACCGCTGATCAGGCTCTACCACCTTTGAAATATGTCCCAAGATGACATTCTTTTTATACAGATAACTTATTATTGGAGCTTATAGTTTTGGAAGACTCTGAACAATCATCTACTTTAGTATCTTCATTTTGTAGATGAGGCCCAGAGAAAGTAGGCACCTGACTCAGAGTCAGTTACTGGATGCATTTTAAGGAATGGCTCCTCTAGGTCCAATATAAGGAGTGGCCTCCACCCTGGAAGGTAGCAATGCTTTAAACCAAAATGATGGATCATTTTTCCTTTATTTTTTCCATTTATACACCTTAGTGGGATTTTTTAAATTGCGGGAAGTGGCTGCCTGGCTTTTTGAAACATTGTGTCAATCAAACAATGTAGCCCCGAAGAGAGAAATTAACCGTCTCCTGCCATCTTACCACCAGCCTGGTAGCCAACGGTAATATTCCTCCATACTTCTCTCCACGTCCTTTTCAACTATGCAAGTGTGCATGCACACAAACACTTTTTCTTTCTTTCCTTTCCTTTGGAAAAAAAAAGAGAGAGATCATATTATAAAGATCACTGGGCAATGTTTTTTTGGGTAATGTTTCATGCATATTTCTCCAGATCGATACCTATAGATCTACCTGTTAGCAGCATACATTCCATCACGTGGATGTACTATGATTTATTAAAGTGTTCCATCCTGATGGATATCCTCAGGCTGTTTCCAGTTTTGTGTGTGAACAATACTGATATATATAGATATTCTTCCACTCTGTTGTTTTTATTTCTAGGGGATAGATTCTTAAAAGTAGGATTTCTGGGTCAAAGACGATGCCTTCATTAAATATTAATCCATACCGGCAAACTACCTTCCTCGAAGCAACTTACATTGTTACGGCATTTTATGAGCATGCCTGTTTTCCCATATCTTTACCAGTACTGAATGTTATCAATCTTTTTAGTTTTTGTAAATTTTGTTAATTTGTTAGGTGAGAAAAAATTCAGTGCAGTCTAAATCAAAATGTTAATCTAGCCACTAATAAGCTTCACTACCCCCCATTTGGGCCCAACCCCCTTCGTGACATGAATCAGCCCCCACCCCCACCCTGCCATTGCAGCCTGGTCCAGCCGGCTTCTCTCGCTTCTCTCGGCAACAGGCAGGCACCACAGTCCTCAGGGGGATCCCCAGGGACCCAGAGGCATCTATAGAGCCCTTCCATCCTCACACTGCAGGATCAGCACTTCAAGAACTTACAGGTTTCTGTCACTCAGCGAGCCTCAGCCAGGGAATGAGAGATGTCAGCTCCCAACAGTAGGGAACCCCAATCTCCATGTTGGATTCTTTTGGTGCCTCCCTGGCTTGACCTGAGATGGGGGAAATATCTCCTTCCCTTCCCCCAAGAGAAGGAGAGGAAATGCTCATGGGTCCTTATTCCTAAGCATCCTCTTCAAAGAGATCTCTTCCCTGCTGAACCTCCAGGCTTCTCTTGCTTGGGTGGGAGGAGGGTCACTGATAACCTAAGGATTCGCTCTTGGAAAGGCTGCTGGGATGTTTCTCATGCTTCTCCTTAATATTGAGGACACTTACTCCCCTGGAGGTTGTAGTGGAAATTCTGAGGCACAGGAGAAGTCCCGATCTGTATCATGCTGATGTTTTCTATCACGCATTTGAGGTCCCTTGTCATGTACCACCACCTCTGGGAGTTCTTTTCTTTTTTTCACACTTAGACTTTTATTTTACCTGGAATTTATTTTTGTAAATAGGATGCTAGGAGTCTAACTTTGTTTTCTTCCACATGGATAGTCAACTGCATGAGCATCATTCACTGTACCACAGAAACACTGATCATCCCACTGGGATGCTAGCTTTGTCACATAGGAAGTTCTTACACAGAATGGCTGCTTTCTTACTCCTTTTTTTGTTCATTTTTCTTTTGATTATTCCTATGCTGATATTACATGGTTTTGATTACAGCATGTTTATACTCAGTGTTGATATATATATAGGCATATTTATCTCTCTATCTAATTTTTTGTTTTTCTGTTTTTTGTTTTTTTATTTTTAGTTAGAGCTATCAGTGTTTGAATAGTTAGCTTTTAATACCTGGCACTGGGTAATATCTTCTCTTACTAAACTTTTCCAAAAAAATTCTGTCAATTTTTACACATTTATTCTTCCATGTTAATTTTTTAAATCACTTTGCTTAGCTAAAAATAGAAGTTGATTGGAATTATGGTCAACTTACAAATTAATTTGCAAAGGAATGACATATTAAAAAGATTAAGTCCTCTCATCTAGGAAGAAGTATTTCAGATTTAATGACCTTCAATAACAAGGGATCTCTAATAGAATTCCAGGCCTCCCGTGGACAGAAGCAGAGCCCTTTTTTTTGGTTTGTAGAAGGAAGGCCCAGGACCTCTTTCACAACCCTGCACCCATCCATGTAGCCAAATTTCCCGTTTCTCCGTGTCCTAAAACAGAGGGGTTTTTATCTTAAATAGAGAGAAAACTACCATCAACTTGCAATGACCTTGGTCTGTGGGAAAGTTGCCACAAATTCATGGTCATAATAGTTCCCATTTACTGAGGACCAGGTATGTGCCAGGCATCTAAGAGCTGTACATTTATTGTCTCTTTTAATCTCTGCAATCCATCTGTGGAAGTGGGTACTAACACGTTTAACAGAACGCTGAGGCTCGAGACACCTGTAGAAAGTGTGCAAGCTTCCGTCAAAACGGTGTGGCCCAAACGCAAAGCCCGGCACTGCTCCGCCACGTAAGCCTGCCACCCCCGGCCAGTAATTGATCCAGGTCAGGAGGATTCCCAAATTCTTCTAGGTTTACTTACCTTTTCAAAGTACCCTCTCTGTCAATTGATAGCAGACATAAGCTTGCCAGTGATGTTTTAGCTGGCCCCGGCAGTAACTTGAGCTCTGCCCTTCCTGGATCCATGCCAGCAGAAGGTTGACGGGGCAGAGCCGAGAGAGCCCTGGATACGCCATTTGCCCTCATTTGTCCACAGAGCACCTACATCTTGGACACATCACTCATTGATAACTGAGGTTCTGTACCTGCTCTTCCACGTGGGAGGTCTTTGCTTAGGGTCCAGGAGATGGAAGCCCCACTGGCCCATGAGTGCGTGCCTCATTGTCTCTGGGTTTCCACAGCGGGGGCTCTTGATGGTCTTAGACCTTTAGGAACATTCACAGTCCCTCTCACCTCACGGACGAGGCTGTCGCCATCACACATTATCATCTTCTAGCATTTTTATAGCCGTGTTTTAGTTGCTCCCAATCTAGCTGGGGTGCCTGATGTGTTTGTCTACCCAGGACCCTTAGAGCAAGGGGCCTGCTCTCTGGAGGGCCCCTCAGGTCGAGATCTGTAGCACACAGAAGGCTGTTAGTTGTTGAAATGGGCTCTGCTCTTCCCTCCTGCTGCTATAGCAACCTTAGTCCAAACCCAAACAAATAACTGTGTTTGCCTTGCCTGTTAAAAATACTAATTAGAAAAAAAGAGAGAGAAACTAAAAAAGAAAAACATTCACTCGTATCACTAGGTTTTATATTTGTCCACGTTGACTTCCAGCTCCTCTGCACATGCTTATTCATGTCCATAACTGAGTTTGTAGCCGAATGGGTTGGTTCTTTGCTCTTTTCATTCCTCACCAGGTAGCACTTTCCCCTGTCTTAGCACCTACAGTCCCTTAAGCTCCCTGCTACTTGGGTGAGTGGGTAGAGTCCCCTGTCCCTGGCTGAACATTCAGCCTGTTCCAATCAAAGCCATTATGAATAATGTTGTAACAAATTGTTTTGTGTACATAGCTCTTAATTTTTATTTGCGTTAGCTCCTTGGAGAGATATTATAAGCTAAGAAAATGCACATTTTTATCTAGTTTCTATTCTGTAGGTCTTCCTCCAAACCCATGGCCCTGAATCCCTCACTTCTCTGGATCTGGTCCTTTTCTGGCTGATTCCGTCTCTTTCTGGCTTCCCTTAAGTAGCTCCCACTTTCCTCTGGCAACAAGCTGGTTGGGGGAAAGGCAGCAAGACCCCACTTACGTGTGAATGTCCGATTCCTCCTTCCCTCCCAGGGCCAGCTTCATTTTAAGACAGGAACTAGCTAACTAGAGGGCAAAGATACAAGTTAAATCAGAGATATGGAACTCAGTGTTTTGCTTTACAACGAGAGAGAGAGGAAAAGAAAGAGAGAGAAAGCATTTTGTACTCTGTTCAGAAATCCAGTAAAAATCTTTAAAAGAAAGTTTTGTTTCCAAATGGCTTTTGCTACTGGGCTATTTTTAGGTAGAAGGGCTTTAATTATACGGGGCCGCCCACACGGGGCTGGGCGACCTCACAGTAAACTGAGGGAGCGGAGAGCTTCCGGACAGGGGCGGAGCACGCAGAGCGGGTCACCGGGGGAAGCCACCTGGCCCTGGGGCC